GGTTGCCAACCCCTGCATTAAACTATTGAAAGTTCCATTTAAAATTACAATATTTAATTAATTACACAGTACAGAGTACATCATAGGGGCTAACGAAAAACTCTGTTTCTGCTGTTTCATCAGCCTATACTGAACCAAAACACAAAGGCACATTTCTAATAGTATAAACTATGTAAAGATGCTAACAATACCACGGCAACCTTGTGATAAGAGGGCGTACCTGTTTCTGTTGGCTGCATGGAGCTATAGACTGTATATAAAAGACGGACATAGTGCTTCAAATAGTGATGTTGGTTTTAAAACACTATGTCATAAGTGTAAGAAATCACAAGTGTAAGCTATTTAAAGATGGCTGCTCCTTTTTGAGCCTGTTTCTGCTGGAGATTTCTTCCTGTTAAAAGGGAGTTTTTCCTTCCCACTTTTGCCACCTCCTTGCTCAAAGGGGGTTGGGGTTTTCTGTTATTATAAGGTCTTTACCTTACAATGGAAAGCTCCTTGAGGCAGCTGCTGTTGTGATTCTGCATTAAATAATAGCAGTTTATCACATGCCTCTTCCTTTCCACATTGCACACAAGGTGTCTTTGGGCACTGGTGTCTTGATGCAAAGGCTGCATATTCTCAGATATGCAAAGACCACATGCGAGTTATATCAGTTCGTGTCATTTATACCTTTCTGTTTAGCATTTGGTTTCCCTTTTTCCAATTTATTTTATTTTCACTCACTTTCACCCACTACTTAGGTTTTGGCAATAAAAACTACTTGGTTAGGATTAGAAAGAAACTGCAGGAGTTAGATTCCCATGGCTCTTGTGTCATAACCTGGTGAGGCATGCAGCTACCAAATGGCACCTTTTGAGGAATGAGGCATGCCAGAGGATTTCACAAAATTGTAATATTATAGAGACATAGACTTCTATCCAATTTGAATTACCCATTCAACCAGAGAAGTCCCTGCTCTGCATTAAAAAGACAGCAGGTTTAAAGTGCAAAAGACTTTCTGCCATAGACTGTGTATAAAAGATAGATATAGCCCCAGAAAAGTTTGAGAAATGAAGTGGCTCTTTCTAATAGCCAGCAGGGGGCAAAATCTGCAGTTTCAGAAATCTTCCTTGTTGTATGGAAGCTTTGTCTCTGTGACCGCAGTAAACCCTTT